AAAGAGAAAGACATGCTCTGCTTTTGCTCTGTCTCACTATACGCTGCCCTGAGTCATCTCAGAACTCTTTAGAGTCCCTGCGAGCAAGAAGGCCCAATCCAGATGGTAACCGTTGATTTTGGGCTTCGAAAACTGTGAACTAAATAAACCCAGTTCTTTATAAATCACTACTCAGTGAGGTATTCAGGTGTTAAGCAACAGGGAATGGACTAAAACAGATATATTACAAATAACTTATTAGAAGTAGCTAAATGATAATACATAGATAATATGTAACATTTATAATTTTTCAAAAGAAATCTTTAAGGTTTTTGTCATAGAGTGCATGTACTCAGCAGAGAGAGAGAGAGAGAGACAGAGAGAAAGTGAGAAATCATCCCCTAGTGGGGATGTCCATGCCACAGTCCCTTCTCCATTCTCCTCTTGGGATTTTGGGCACTATGCACATAGGCTCAGTGTGATTTTCAAGTTGCTGGGTCTGGGACTCAAACTACATCGGCCATGTGGGAGTCTAGCAACTTACCCACTATAGCACCTGCTGACCCACAATTTTTCAAATTTACAATGATGCAAAAACAATACCCATTCAATGGAACCATGCTTCAAGTACACCCATTCTGGTTTTCTTACTTCCAGTATAGTATTCAGTGAATTGCATAGGATATCCCATACGTTATTATGAAGTTGGCCTTGTGCTAGGTGGTTTTGCCCACCGGTAGGCCAATGTAAGTGTTCTGAGCAGGTCAAGCAAGTCTAGGCTAAGCTGTGGTGTTTGGAGGGTAGGTGTACTAAATGTGTTTTGATTTACAACATCTTCAGCTTAAGATGGGTTTATTAGGACATCACCCCATGGTAAGTCAAGGAGCATCTATATACAAAGACAGTAAAATAGTAAATGATTTACGTAAGATATAACTTACTCAAGATGATTGGTAAAACAATGGCAGACAGACTGCTTGCATTCAGAAAGCTGCCTCTGGGGACCAGGGTTTAGGAAGAGGAGTGATCCAGCAGGGAATATCACATCTGGCATAGCCTCCACTACCTCAGGGCATTACTGGCATTAACAATACTATTCAGGTCCATTGAAATAAAAAATAAAACAGAGTAAAATAAAAGTTTTTTTTTTTTTTTTTTTTTTTTTTTTTTTTTTTTACAGTTTTTTTTTTCATGAGAGCTGTTGCCTTAGGATGTGTGCACTCACCAGAGAGACAGATATTCTAAAAAGAAGTACAGAATGCTATGGTCTGCTGCCCCTGTGAGGAATAGGGTGATAAATCACTCAGACTACCGTGTAACTATTTTCTAGAGCCCACTCCCCTGTCAGAGGCAGCCCATGCCACCTACTTCCTTGTCAGAGGCAGCTCATTACTCGAACTGCCAGGTGAAAACCCCACACCTCCAACTCCTCTTTAGCAACCCATTCAGGACTCCTCCCTACTTGGGAACTCTGTTCTTCTTTCTCTCTCTTAGTAAACTCTTTACTCTCCTTTCTGTGTCTGCATCTCTATTTCTTTGTGACCGTCGGACAAGAACCAGTGCAGGTATTGGCCTGGTCACCCAGCACTCTCACATCACTTAACACCCAGAAAGGTATTTTTTAAAAAGACATATTCATGGAACCAGAAGATGATATAATGGTTATGTCGTTGGACACACACTCACACACCCCATAGTCAACCACAGTTTGAGTCCCAGACCCGGTGGCTTAAAAACGCATGCTGGGCATGTATGTGTGCATGCCCAAATTCCTGAAAGGAGATTGGAAGAGAAGAGATTATGGCGTGGCCATTTCCCCTGAAAGGTGACTTTCTATCTCTCTGTCTCTCTCTCTCTCTGTCTCTCTGGTGAGTGCATGTGCCCTATAGCAAAACTCTCTTAAAAAAAAAAAAAAGGACATTTATAGCAACCCTAGGCTGAATCTCAAGATGCAGACAGAAACATGTACACAAACCATCATATTCCTCATGCTGTTTCCTTTGAAGATCTGCCAGCTGGTGTAGTCAGAACTGTAAGCCACAGTGAACTCAGTGGTGTAGTAGGACTTCAGGTAGTGTTTGGCACCTTGGGTCTGGATCCCCGTGATGACAACTTCCTTTTGCATGTCAACCTGCAACATAACAAACTCAGTAAGCATAACTCTTGGTGGCAGTGAGGGACACACTGCCTAATTCATTGCACACTCAGCTGTCTTTAGAACTAAGGAGCCAGTGCCTAAGGTCTTAGCAAACTCATAATGTGGCTAAATGCAATCCACCTGTGAGCAGAGAGTACCTAAACTTGAATCCCATTTCAGCCACTAACCAGCTGCATGTTACTTCGGGAAGTTAGTTAATATGTCTGTGCCTTGATTTTTTTATAAGTCAAATGGGGTATTACTAAAACAGCCTCAAAGGGTTGATTTTAAGGATGTAAAGTACTTAGAGTAGTACTTAGCTCCTGGTAATTGCTACTTCCTGGAACAACACTGCAAGAACCACAAGAAGAAATGACAAAGTCACTATCACCCTATCACACTACCAGCAGACCATACCAAGGTAAGAAGGCATACCTGGAGCCAAGGTGTAGAGCCTAATCCTGATGCAGGTCTCTCGGTACTCCAAGCATTATATGTTCCACCATTGTTTAATCTTGCTAATCTGGGCTCCCAATGACCTAAATTCAAAGGGAAAAAATTATTCTGAATTTTTAGAAATTAGCCATTTCTCAGATGAGTTTAATGTAATGGAAAACCAGGTCGTTCCTAGAGGACCGGTGTTGCAGTTAGACCAGGCAGTTGGGATGGCTGCTAGGCTGGCCCTGATGAGGAAATCCCAGCTTCTGGTCTGTTTGGTTAGCTGTCGGTCACCGTCCACCCCTTTTCTGGCACACAGGTCATGCTAGGTTGATGGAATGTGCTACCGAGTGTGCCTAACAGGAAGATGGAGAGCCTTATTATCTCTGATCTTGGGAAGTGCTTTGAATCAGACTGAGGATGCTTAGGAGGCATTCACATGGTGGATGATCAATAAAGTTTCTTACAGAGATGAAGGTTTGGCCATGTTAATGAGGACTATAAAGTCCAGCTGAGAAGACCATGTGAATCTCGTTAGAAAATAGTATGTGTGATAAAACCCAGAACAGAAAAAGGGGGAGAGAGTTTTGGAAATGGGTACATGGTTTAAGAGTAAAGCTCCCCTCTTCTTGCCAGATCCTTTGCAGGGGGTTGAACTGCCTACGTAGAGAAAGCGGTGACCCCTAGCTCTGGGTTTTCTCTAGAAGAGACTCTTTAGGAGCATTACACATCAGAGAAGGTGGCAGTGAGCCGAGAAAATGGACAGGTTTTAGCTCCTGCTATAGAGCTCTTTCTTCTACCAGATGAATACCCCAAATGGCGCTGCTTCACTGTGCTGTGGGAGAGGGAAGCCTGAAGGGGAGAACTGACCAGTAGGCAGGGTTGGCAGGTATGGTTTTCCAGGCCGCACACTTTACAACTGCAGTCGGGGCCATTCGTAGGCTAAAACCTACTACTTACTCAGATACTCGGAAGCCTTAATCTGTGCATCAGCTACGACACCCGTGCTTAGTCCCATTGGCATCTTACAGTCTATGAAAAACAGCAAAATGGATAACTTTGCTTCGAAAATGCTTATAACAAAGTATGAGCTCTGTGGTTAGAGATTTTACACTTTGATGGGTCAAGAATTCAATTTTTTTTTTTTAAATTTTCTAGATGGTGTATGTGATCACCGGGAGAGAGACAGAGAGAATACATGAGAAAGCACCCTCCCCTAGAGGAATGGTTACACTACAATTCCTTCTCCGTTTCTCCTCTTGGGATTTTGGGCATGCACATACACTTGCCCAGCCTGCTTTTGAAGCCTCTGGGTCCATGACTTAAACCATGCAGTTGGCCATGTGGGATCCGGCTGCTTTTGCCAGCTCATTAATTAGACATTTTAACTTATCTTTTGTGGTGCCGACTTAAACATGTCTGACTGTAAAATGGTAAATACAGTAGAAAGACTGGTGCCTTAAAAGAAATAGTAACATCCTAAAGGAGAACAATTGAAATCGTGACCTACATTGACTTTTAAACTAATTTTCATGTGTTGGGTCTTAAAATAAGCCATTTGTAACATTAGATACTATTCCCCATAAGGCTATATTATCAAAAGTTGACCTGAAAGTTACTAGGTTATGTACATCTTTTTTTTTTTTCTTTAAGGTTTTGGATTAGGACACATGTGCTTACCAGAGAGGAACAATGAGAGAGAAAGTGAGAAATCATCCCCAGAGGAGATGAGATGGCTATGCCACAATCCCCTCCCTCCATTCTCCTTCTGGGATTTTTGGCATGTACTCACACATGCCTGACATGATTTTCAAGCCACCAGGTCTGGGACTCGAACCACAGTCAGCCATGTGGGAGTCCAGCCATCTTAGCCACCGTGCCACCTGCTGGCTCCATGGTTATGCACATCTTGATCAAGGAAGGGACCAACTGTGGTGCTACCTGGATGTGGGCACAGTGCTTCAGACTCAGTGGGTGTTCAGTAACGGCTCAAAGGATGGAAGAATGGATGGAGGTGAAATGCTGTCTTTTGAATACTGAGATGTCAAGTTCAGTGACTGTCTCAGTCATTGCTGGGTTGCCCTGACCTTTTTCCTCCTATAGTCTAAGAAGCTGGAGACCTTCTCATGAGCACTTTCCCCTGAGTCACAACTCGTGAAGAAGAATGCTTTATATTGATTCCCCAGGAGAGGAATGCCTTTGGTCTGATCCACTTGGTTTAATTTTCCTAGATGACTGGTATGGTTTCAGGGCAATAAGACCAATGGCGAGAATAAAGGCAATTATGGCTACATATTACAGCTTTATCGTCAGAATTCCCAGCCAGCTGTCGGCAATAATCTAGTAACGTGTACTGTTCTGCTAAAATACACCATTTGGCCCTCGGTGGTACCTCTGTCTATGACGAGGAATGGTTCCTGCTTGCTGGTTTTCTCCAACCTCTGTGTCTAGAAGCCACCAGCCAGATTTTGATGCCTTCATTTCAAGAGTTTTAAATGAACCTAAAAGAGAGTGAAGGAAAATAATGCATTACCCAAAGATGAATAAGTTATCTTTGTGGATTAGAGCTCTCCAAGATTCCTAAAACCTCTGCATCATAAGAGGCCTTAAAATATTATAGAATGGAAGCGTTAACATTTCTCTTCAGACAAAACCAGAGATGTAACAATACATGCAACTACGACACACATATATGTGCAGAGACATTGTTAAAAATAAAACTCTCTAGGTTAAAAAATATCTCCACCACCCTTCGCTAGAAAGAAACTTTCACTTAGCTAAATATGTTACAGGTTAATCATACATGATATAGCTTCATAGTCTCAAGGATCAAAATGACCTTGAATGACTTATCATTAGGCCTCAAAAATACTGGACATGTTTCCTTTCTGTCTTTTCTTTCCTCTTTTTTCTTTTCTTAAATATGAAAAGTCAAAATACAACATGCTTCTCCCATATTTTCAGATTTTCTGTAAAGCTTACATATTTGGTAATGCAAGTGCACTGCCAAGATGGAAGCCATGTGGCCAACCATGGGTTCGGACCCCTGGGTAAGCCTGATGACATCCTGGCTATGCCTGGGTGCCCAGGACCCTGAGAACTTGGAGGTCAGGGAAAAGGATGCATGGTGTAATGAGACTCTGTTAGGAGTGCCTTTTCTCTCCTGTTCTCACTCTCAGTCATGCATGTATCATTTGAAAAACACCTTACATACTTAATAGAGATTTTCATGAATCATTTCAGAGAGTCACTGAAAAAAAATGAGATTTCTACTAAAAAAAACTCCGAGTGTCTCTTCTGGAATTTAATATTACCCCTTGCCAGTAATCGGTTAAATTCTGTTGATTATTATTTGTAACCATTTCCCAGATCATGAATGAACATTAATAGCTGATGACATCCTCCTCAAACACGCTGAAAGAGAGCTCCAGGCTTCCTCTCACCGATGCAGCTGTTTAAGTTCAGAGAGTCAGCTAGGCCAGCCAGGCCCAGCATCTCAGCCCTCCCTGGAAGGGCACTGAAGGGCCCCTGACCTGCTGTGCCTGCTTTTTTTTTACCTTAAGTGTTGAGTTGACACAGTCTCCTCTGTCTCTGATCTCACTAGAGTGGGTCTTCTAGATTTGTCAGTGAGTCACTGGCATATAAATGACAAACAAGATCCCTGTCCCCACAACTCATAACCAAACCAGGCCCATTTGGATTTAAGAACCTACGACTGAGGCAGACACAAGGACTTCCCTACCCACAATTCTGTCCAGGGACTGCCCAGCCAGTTCCTCAGGCAGCATCCATGGGAGGTAGACTGACTGTTAAAAAGGCAGACCCCTGGGAATTCACATCCAAGTCTCTGAGAGTCAAATCTCTGCTTTGGCAACTGCATTTTACCCAGCTTCCTCATTTTTTGTTTGTTTTGCAGAGAGACTTTTGCCACAGGGGACATGTGCTCACTGGAGAGACAGACAGCAAGAACTCACCCTCCAGGGGGGGATGGCCACGCCACAATCTCTTTCCTCTCAGGATTTTAGGCACACATGCACACATGCATACATGCTCAGCGTGAGTTTCAAGCCTCTGGGCCTGGGACTCAAACCGTGGTTGGCCAGCAACATAACCATTATGCCATCTGCTGGTCATCCTTCCTGGGCTTTTATTATACCCACCAAAGTTTGAGATTCAGTGTCACCTGGCACTCACTCCCCACAACCCCACCCTGCCACCTAGATACACCTTACAGATATCCTTTGGTGACTGTAGTTTGTTTAAATCTACATTTATCATTATAGTGTGCATGAAAAGCTCTAAATACTCTTTTTATTCTTTAGCTTTTATAATCATTAACAATTTCTTTTCTTCTCTCCAAACAGCCTCAGAAGTCAGTTCAAGATTATGATTCCTGGGGTCACTGGCACAAAGATATTAGGATGATGGAGCCAGGAGCAGAATTTAAGAGTCTGGGAACCCTAGTAAGTTTCTCATTTCCTTCCTGGAAGAAAAGACTATAGCCACCTGAGTCCCACGAGATTCATTTGTCTTGTGCTTGAGAGCCTGAGTCCATGGACACACACATGGCTTGGGAGACCTCGCATGTTTTGCCAGCACAGCGGCTGTAAGACTGGTGCAGCCCATGGTTAGCCTTCGTGGGGCTGCAAACTGCCCGTGTTAGCTGCTCTGGCTCCCTGCATACAGTGTGGCACAGGACTTTACAGGGTCGATGCCAGAACCCCGCGCACTGGCCCCTGAGGAAGTAGGTGTTCAAGGAGGGAATGAGTCCCCTCACAGAGGCTAGGATTGCCTCCTCCATTCTTAGCAGGGACCTCTTTCCATGGCTCGGATGTTTACCAGGCAGAAGGGGCCAGACCCCTAACTGGTGCTGTTGATTGCCATTTTCCAGCAAGGTCTGGCCGTGAAAGTGAACCACGTGGATGTCTCGGGCGCTTTTCAGCAGGTGTAACCTCACGTGCTCTTGCTCGTACATGCGCAGGCCAGGCAGGTTGTAGGTCCTCCCGTTAATGGCTGAAAGGACAGAGTTGCAGTCAGTTAAAAGACCCGTGTGCGGCAGAGGGAAGCTGGTCAGGGAGCACAGAGCAGCCCCGTCACCCCATCTTCTGTGGCTGCACTTTTCCAGGCCTATTCTATGGCAGAACGTCAGGGGGAGGCTGCAACGCACAGCTAGCTCCCCTCACACCAGTGGGCAGCTCCAGAGCAGGAAAACTCTCTTCCCAAAGCAGTTTATCACTCTTCCCCAGAGTCTTCACTTCTGCTGTGTGTTTACCCATTTCTCCTTAATAGTCCAGGGCCAGCCAGTGGTATGGTGGCTAATGCGACTGGATCCTACATGGCCCACTCTGGCAGCTTGGACAACGTGCCAGGTGCATGCCTGTGCCTGCCCCAAATGCTGATAGGACAATAGAGGAGAAGGGATTATGGCCTGGCTATTCTCCCTGGGGGGTGGTTTCTCACTTTCTCTGGCAAACACACACCCACACCCTATAGCAAAAAACAAAACAAAAACAAAAACTTAAATACAATCTGAGTTTGTTTTGTTGTTGTTGTTTTTGTTTTTGGTTTTTTGCCACAAAAAGATAAAACATGGGCAGACAAACTTTAGCAGCTGAGATCATTAAGGGACATGCAGTATGTCCCCATATGCTTAATTCAGAGATCATTCCAGGCAGAATTAGGGAGCTGTTCATTTCTGGTGTGCCGCCAGCCATGGCGACGTGTGGTTATTTCCTCAGTGTATGATAGCTCCTCTTCTGCTTTCCAGCTTAGGCATCTAGGGCTCCCAGGCTTTATACACTCCCCACTTAGTGAACCGTGGCCTTTGAAGGCACCTGTTTTACATTATCACCTTAAAAGTGTAACACACCTGAATAGTAAAGCTTAGTGCTATCAAGCATTTAATTGGAATGTAAGCCATGTGTGTTTTATTTCTTCAGTTAGAGGAACTGCTGTGGAATTTCAGGAATCATGCAAATTTATTTTTAGAGGGGAAGGGAATGTTTGGGCATCCTTGAAATTATATCAGGTATGCACACACCTACCCACATATTCAAGCACCAGTCCTAAATCCTCGTCTCAGCTTCCGTTTAAGAGGCAGATGCCATGGAGGGAACGCGCTCAGCGCTGCCCAACAATGGCACCCAGAGGTGGCTGCGAAGACTCGACCTGACCCGTGCTCCAACAGCATTGCACAGATTGGGCTGAGTCACGGAAGTCACTTGTTTATTAGTTCAGCACATATGAGGGGCTCCAGGAAGTTTATAGTAAGATGGAGGTAATGTATGAGTTTATTTTAGTGAAAATTTTTTTTTGAAATCCATCCATAGTTCTTTCATAAGATGCATTTTCGAGCGCAGCCGTGCGCCGTGAACGGCCTGGC